CCCAGCAACACCACCATTCACAGGGTGCCGGCTGCAGGGCCCTACGTGCTCCAGGCTGCATCCAGGCCTCTTCAAGTGCATAGAGGTGGCCCTGGGCCTGGCTTTCAAGGCTCCGGGAGGAGGAAGGCCCACCTCCCGAGGCCATGAATCACCTGGTGGGGGAGCCGAAGCAGGCGGCGCCCCAGGGGAAGAGGCCTGGCAGGGTCTAGAGGCTTGGTGGGGGGCGGCTCAGGGCCCATCCATCCCCAGGGCTCTGGCCGCAGCCCCTCGGCCCACACGCTTCCCAGGGGCCCCTTCTCTGCTTTCCCGGGACCCTGCCCTCTCCAGGCCTTGGCTGGGGAAAGACAGGCAGAATGAGGGCAGACTCCTCAGGACCCTGGAGGGCTGCCTGGAGCCAGTGAAGCAGTCCATACATCTGGGCACAGTCCCACCGGGCCAAGTATCTTTAAATGGGTTCTACCCAAGTGAGGACGGGAAAAGTCTCCAGTGATGCCAGTGGTGTTATTCCAACTTGTGGCTAGTAAAATACAATTACACCTGTACGTTGTTTTTATTACCTATATAGCTTATTAGCTAATAAAATAAGCTCAGCATTGAAAATTTAACTGAAGCCATTTATCGTACCCACAACTCAGGGCTCTGGGTTTCCTTCAGCAGTCACCCAAATCTGTTACCTTTCCAGCCTTTTTACCTATTTACATTTCTCCAGGAAGGAAAATTCCACCTGCCTGTCCAACTTGAATGAATGTGTTCGATCGTTGTCTAGCTTGGACACCCCTGGAGAGCCGCTGGGAGGAAGGGAAACTGACCACGAGGGCAGGGCCTGGGCTCTTGGACAAAGGTGGCCAGAAAGGCTGGACTCAGGGGTCAGGTGGGTGGTCTAGACCAGAGATACCTGCACCTCTTCTTTGGGCGGGACCTCTAGGCTTGGAGGGAGAACTAGAGGAGAAGGAAACGCCAAAAACAGAAGCTGTATTTTCATTCTGGAATGAAAGGAGGCCCGGCTGGAAAAGCAGCACTGGCCACTGAAGGAAGGCCGTGGTGCCCGCCCGGGAAGGGGTGGACACGACGAGCCTGCCTGCACAGACGTGGCCGTACGCCCACGAGCGAGGCCAACGTCTCAGCGCCAAGCTAGTCCCCGCTCCCTCAAGCCCAGCCGTGACAGATGCTCACATAACAAGACTAGAAAAGATAATGCTCAAACCGTGGCTCTGAGCACCCGAGGAACCCCTGGACACAGAAGCTAGAGCGTCGCGTTTTACCCACCACACCCATCTGTCCTCGAGTGGACAGGTGGTCACAAGGACCAACCCTGCTCCCTGGGCCTCACTATCACGCTCTGATCCTTGGGACTCCGCAGTGGGAACCAAACGCAGGCAGCCCTCAGGCTTGGAGACTGTCCTGATGATGGTGTATTAACTCCAAGTTCCTCTCATTCAAACCCATACCCAAGATCGGTGTTAGCAGAAGGCAGGGCTCTGAGACTCGGAGGATAAAGCACAAGCGACAGGGGTGTGTGGCCAGAGGCCTCGCCTACAGCGGACAGCAAGGATGATTACACAGGTGGCACAGGGCAGAGTCATCACAGTTCCTGGATGGCCTCACACTGCTGGCAGTTTAATCAGAAGAATAAGTGCCTCCCCCCATTTCTCGTTCTTTAAAACTATCACCCACGGCCCTGATCTCAGGGTCGGCATGATCTGAGTGACACTGAATCCCGGCCTGTGCCAGCAGTTCCTACGGTGGCTGCAGGGACGGGCTCCTGGGAGAGGCTCCAGAGAAGTACCAGGAGGGGGACCACCAGTGTCTGGTGACGCTGGACTGCCCGACGCCCTGCCTCTCACCATCTGTCTGCTC